TTGTAGGTGAATATTCACCTGCCAAAGGGTATGAAGCAGTTCTTGAGGTGCAATAGGGCTATCATCTGTTGTCCAGTAGGTGTTAACTGTCCTCTCCATATCTTACACTTTCCTATGATTCGTTTCACAGCTGATGCTCCGTGAAAAAAAAACAAGTACTTGCGCGGAATACTGGCTAGTACTTGCGCAACCCCCGAATGGCCTTCAGTCAAATAGTAATAATTGACAAGCATTTTAGGTATAATAATGGGGAACTTCGCGCAACATTTCAACGTGTAACAGAACAACCTGCTGCGAGTACAAAACAAATCGTTACGCAAACTAGGGCGTAAGTCTCAACGGGCTCTTCTCCATAACTTCTTTGTGACACCACTCCCTTCTCTGACCTTTCTCCCATAAGTACTAGCTCATCCTTGTAAATATGACGATGCACCAGTTGGATGAAGTTCTCTTCAGATTGTGCGATTTCTCTGAGTTTAATAAACCCACAGGAGAGATTACTGTGGGGGAAAAACAGAAAAATTTTAGATGAATTTTGTGTTATGGCAAAAAACTTTCCAAAATATGGCCCCCCTGTGCCCCCCTAAAAACCTTTTCCTCCAAGGGCCTCCTGGAATTCGCTACGGGTGGGTTAGCCAACCGCGCAGCAGGCATGGATAAATCAGCCTAGCGCGTGCCGTTTCTTGCCTAAGGCTGAGTGCGCGCCCTCTATGCTATGGCGTACGCCATAGGCCAGCCGCACATGCACGCTTTGCTAATTCTGCCACAGCTCATGCGCTGTGCAATACCAGCTGCCACAATGGCTCAGTACGGGACCATCGTACGCATCTCCAGGCTGTCGAACGATAGCACGACAAGGAGACGGCTAGTGAACCAGTACTATCGATCGCAGCTGGCTTGCAGGACAACCTGATCGTGGTGCCAGCTGGTTGGTTCGGGTATTTCCCGTTCCGGCAAATGGTTGGGTGGCAGTGTTCCAGAACGTGGTGGGTTTTCGCCTGGCAAGCGTTCTCCCTATAAAAAGCAACAAATGTCTGTTTAACAACACTGCGACGTGGCTGATGTGACTCGCCACTAAATAAAGTCACTGCTCCTTGCCTCTCTCTGAGAGGCATTGTACTTCAAGGGTGCGTTGGGCCCCTGGCCTTCACAGACCGAAAGGCGTACGAATCATCTGTTTTGGTCACCAGCTCCCAACGGGTTGCGACGCCCTCACATCGCGTTACTGCCTTGTAGGTTAGATCTTTGATCAAAGGTTCAGGACAGGGCCCCCTTAGACAACCCACTACTTCAACTTGGGCAACCGGGTAGTATCACGCCCACTGACGAATCATGGACCACACAGCTTACTACCGCTCCTGCTTTGCCTATCTTCTATGCTAACTCAACTGCTCAGCCTCCACTCACAGATCACCATACCACTGGTCCTTCACCTATATGTAATCTTATGTCTTCTTCGGCCACCGGCACAAAGGACCCACGTCTCGCAACTGATGGGAGTAACAGCCAAACTTCCGGTTTTCAATGTCCTGCGATCGCAACCGCCTCTCACTCCACCGAAGCTCCAGCTCTTCGACCTGGTTCTCCATTCATCCTCGCAGCGTTTCATGTTCGGACTTTGATTCAGATCGGACAACAAGCCTGTCTGGCCCGTACTCGTGTAACGCACTCGGTAGGCATCTGTTGCCTTTCAGAGACCAGATTACAAGACTCTAGCGCCGTCATCAGCATGGCCTATCCGGTAAAGCCTGACGCCAATAACCAATTGCGGCTTTCCGGAGACCCAGAAGCTGCCGCCTCTGGCCAAGCTGGTGTTGGGGTTGCACTGAGTGCCACAACTAAATCAGCTCTGCTTGACTGGATCCCCATCAACAGTCGGCTATGTGCAGTCAGACTAAGATTGTTCATGTAAGGTAAGCAGGCGTGGAGACCCTAAGCGTGCCTTGTTTGTCGTCTCGGCCTACGCCCGGATGCAGTCAAGGATAGCTTTTACCAGCAGCTACATGAAGTTCTGCGTTTCTCCAAAAGGACTGATATAGTCATTCTTGCCGGGGACTTTAACGCACGGGTGGGTCACCTTCCACCAAGCGAGCACCACCTTGGGGGTAGTTTTGGTCTCGGTGGCAGTCGATCAGACAATGGAGACAGACTGCTTGTTCTTTGCTCTGATCATCGCTTGTTTCTTTCGAGCACTAGTTTTCGGTACTCGAGGAGACACACTGCTAATTGGCACCCGCACTCACAAGCGCAAGAGTGCTCCCAGCTTGACCATAAAGTAATCAGCTACAGGTGGCACGGGAACGTAAAGGACTGTCGATCGTACTAGTCAACTTATCTAGACTTCGACCACGCATTGGTTTGTGATAAGATTTGCATGCGTTGCACAGGATCACCCAAGCGCACCCACTAACGACCGGACGTCGCAGATCTACAAAACCCTGCGATTTTAACCAGGTACCAAGCCTCACTGTCAACATTGCTGGGCTCAACTATTGGCAGTGACCTCGATTCGCAGTGGGCGCAGATCAAAGATGCTTTGGTTTCCGCCAATATCGACACTTGTGGAGTTACCCGTCACCCACTGAAGCATTGGATTTCCGCCGTCTCCTTGTCGCTGATGGACAAACGCCGATTGATCCCGTCGGATTCCAAACACAGTGAAGAACGCCAATCCTTGGATCAAGAGTTGTGCAGGAGTCTTCAAATAGACCGCGAAGTTTGGTGGTGTGAACGTGCTAGGGAGATGGAGCTTGCTAGCCTCTCTGGTAATACCAGAAAACTTTTCGATCTCATTCGAGTCACCGGTGTTCGATGTGGTATAAGTGAAACAATATGCGAAGTGGATTGCACCTTAATCACCAAACTTCAACGACGGTTGGAGCGATGGACCGAACATTCTGGCTCGCAGTTTTATTTATCCCCTGCTCCATTTGCTACCTCTGCCGCTCGCGCTGGGGCCCAATAGTCTATTCCCACAGATCCTCCCTCTTACCGGGAACTCGAGCAGTAGCTCCGGCATATGAAGTGTTATAAAGCCCCCGGGCCTGATGGTCTACCTCCAGCTCTATTTAAGGATGGTGACGCTTCGCTGATTCGAGAACTCCCCGCCTTGTTCTCGAAGTTTGGTCGAAAGAGGAAGTTCCATCATTTTGGGGTGAATCGATAGTTGTCCTCATCTTCAAAAAGGGCTTGAGCACCATCTGCTCCAACTACAGAGGCATAAGCTTAGTCCCCATCCTTTGCAAGCTGCTGGTGTCCATCATACTTCGCAGGCTATGCCCAAGGCGCAAATCACTGCAGCGAGAAGAACAAGCTGAGTTTCGCCCCAGTCGCGGCTGCATCGATCAAATCTTCACACTCTGCCAGATCCTCGAGCTCCGCCATGTGTACCAGAGGACAACGATTGTGGTGTTCTTGGATATCCGTGCAGCCTTCGATTCTGTCGATCATACGGTACTGTGGAACTGCCTACTGAGGAATGGTGTCCCCGAGAAGTTCGTCTCCATACTGCGCGCTCTATACAGTCTGACCTCGGGCAGGGTTAGGGTTTATGACAAGCTTTCGCCTACCTTTGTGGTCTCCAGTGGAGTTCGACAAGGTTGTCCTATTTCTCCGTTCCTATTCAACTTTGCCATTGAGGATGTCCGGAAGAATGCTCTGGGCGGTTCGTTGAACGCTGGCGTTGAGCTCGTCCCAGGTAGTCGAGTTGTTGATTTGGATTATGTTGATGATATCGTCTTGCTAGGTGACGATCCACAGGCCATCCAACTTGCACTAAACCGCTTGGCGATTGAAGCATCAAAGTATGGTATGTACTTTTCGCCATCCAAATGCAAGGCTCTCTTCCAAGACTGGCAGGTGCCTTTGCCTGCATCCACTCTTGGTGGTGAGACACTAGAGGTTGTGGAGAGCTTTGTCTACTTGGGAAGTTGCATCACTGCTGGCGCATCTCGAGAGCACGCCTCGCTTTTTCTAGACTGAGGCACTTGTGGCGTCGCCACGACATTCGTCTCTCCATCAAAGGGCGGGTCTATTGTGCAACTGTTCGTGCTGTACTGTTGTACGGATGCGAGACCTGGCCCATTCGTAAAGATGACTTGCGCAGGCTATCCGTCTTCGAGCACCGCTGTCTGCTGTCCATTGCCCGTGTGTTGTGGCGGCACCACGTAAGCAATGTGGAAATTAGACAGCGTGTCTTGGGATGTGAAAGCCACTGGCTCGAGGAGCTCTTCTGACTGCATCAACTGCGGTGGTTGGGACAAGTATTGCGCATGACTGGTCAGTGTTACCTGCGTCGTGCATTGCTTGCGATTGCTGAACAGGGCTGGAAGAGACGGTCTGGTGGACAGCT